TGTGCGTGCGCCGGTGGCGCGCCAGGCACGAACTTCCGCCGAAGGCTCGTCCGCAGTCCGGGCACGCGTACGGCTTCTCGCCCGTGTGCACGCGCAGGTGCTGTGCGTAGTTGGAGCTCTGCGCGAAGCGCCGGCCGCAGTCGGCGCATGCGTACGGCTTCTCGCCCGTGTGGCGCCGTCGGTGCTGCCGCAGGTTCGAGGCGGCGGAGAAGCGCTTGTCGCACTCCGGGCACTGGTAGGGCCGCTCGCCCGTGTGCGTGCGGCCGTGTTTGGTCAGCGCTGATTTCTGCGAGAAGCACCGGCCGCACTCGGTGCACGCGAACGGCCGCTCGCCCGTGTGCGTGCGCGCGTGCTTGGCCAGCGTGGAGCGGCGCGCAAAGGCGCGGCCGCAGTCCGGGCACGCGTGGGGGCGCGCGGGGTCGACGGACGGCGCTGGCATCTCGCCCGGGACCTGCGGGGAGAGGAGAGGACGTGTCAGCCCTGACCCACAGGCCCCCGGAGCCGGAGACCCGGGTCAACCCGACACAGCGGTGCCAGCAGGATAGGTAAAGGGGGTTGTGTGTCTTCACTGCATACAGAACACATCACCAGGCCTGCTGGCATTCCAGCTATTCGTACTAATTCAGCAAATACTTATTGGGCAGTTGAAATGTCCCAGAATGTGTCATGGGCACTGAGGATTCAGTACTAAGTAAGAAGACAGCATTTTAACATTTCTTCCTTTCAGGAAGAAAGGATGAGGGATGCTGGAAACTTTAATAGGGTTGTCAAAACACCTTAGCGATAGAGTATCATCGAGGGAGAAGAGATAAATGGAGAGATGGAGGCAGAAGAGTATTTAAGTTAGCCACAGTACTGACTGGCTTGTAGTGTAAATTAGATGGGGAGCCAGGTACTAGTGGCTCACACCTGTAATCCCAGCTACTCAGGAGCCTGAGAGCTGAGGATCACAATTCAAAGTTAGCTCAAGCAGGAAAATCTGCAGAGACTTATCTCCAATTAACCAGCAAAGAGCTAGAAGTGGAGTTTGGTTCAAGTAGTAGCCCACCAGCCTTGAGCAAAAAAAAAAAAAAAAAATCTAAGGGAGAGTGTGCCCTGACCCTGAGTTCAAGCCCATTATGGGCATGGTTAAAGGTGGGGATCTATTAGAAGGGATGAAGAGTTTTGAGCAGGAAAGTGGCTAACTAGATCACCCTTAGATCAACAGGCTCCACCAGAAACCAGTGGAGAGGGTTCCATAAGGAGGCTAGTCAGTGATAAAAGAAGACAGGTGTGGGGAGGAAAGGGATGGTAGGGAAAAAACAAAAGAGGAGGTAACAATGCTTTATAGGAAATAGACTCATTACCTTGCTCATGTAACTGTAACCCCTCTTTACAGTATCATATATATGTATATGTATGTATATATACAATATGTATATGTATACACACACACATATATATGACATAGCTTAGATCCAAGAAACCAAAGTGGAAGGTGGAGTTGGTGGGAAGTTGGATTCTGGCTGTGGTTTGTGACAGAAGATTTAATAATAATGGATTCGAAGTGGTATATAAAGAGAATAATGAAAGTTTTTTTTGGGGGGTGGGGTTAGCAACTATTGAAGGAGCTGTCATTTATAGAGATGAAGATGATGGGAAGAGCAGCTTGTGAGGTGAGATCTGTTTGGGGCTTTGTGGGCAGTCAATTCTTGACACATCTAGAGCTCAGGACTGGAGATGTTAACTGAGAAGCTGTCAACCTCCAGGTGGTTTTGAAAGCCTTGAGATGAGAGAAGATCACCCAGAGAATGGGCACAGAAAATCTGGGACAGCAAGATAAGCAGCCAGCAACCAAATCTGAGAAGAAGCAAGGACAGTGACATCCTGGCAGCTGGGTCAGGATGTTTGACCGACTTTTAAGAGTAAGCACCTTTTGTTTTTTTTAAGCTGTGAAGAAAAGAGCAATGGTTAAAAAAAAAAAACTGGTATTCTGAGGACTAAAATGAAAATATTTGGAAATGAGCCACTTTCATGAAGCTAAGCGTTTTGAGAGATAAAACCAGAAAGAAAGAAAAAGGATAGCTTTGTAGGAGGTGGGTAAAAGGAAACATTTTGTATTAACAGCAAATAGGAATGATGAGGCTCTGCTTCCTTAGAAAAGAGAATGCTCAGCTGGGAGCAGGCTCACACCAGTAATCCTAGCTACCCAGGAGGCTGAGATCTGAGGATCATGGTTCAAAGCCAGTCTGATTGGGAAAGGGCTCCAGACTCTTACCTCTAATTAACAAGCAGAAAACCAGAAGTGGAGCTGTGGCTCAAAAGAATGCTCAGCCCAGGAAAACTGTAATGAGTATCTAGTGTGGGTCAGGCAATTAAGAGCACTAATTCATAACTGAAGGAAATCTCTAGCATATATTAAGGTCAAGACTGTGTTAGAATCTCTCATATCCAATCTTTTTTTTTTTTTTTTTAATTTTCCCTTGTGCCAGACCTGGGGCTTGAAGCTGGGATCTGGGCACTTCCCTGAGCTTCTTTTGCTCAAGGCTCGTGCTCTACCACTTGAGCCACAGCTCCACTTCTGGCTTTTCTGGGATAGTTTATTGGCGATAAGAATCTCACGAACTTTCCTGCCCAGGCTGGCTTTGAACAGTGATCCTCAGATCTGTCTCCTGGGCAGCCAGGATTATAGGCATGAGACGCCAGCACCTGGTGTATTCTTTCTGTTGTTATCTTGTTTAAAGATGATGAAGCATGGTAAAAGAGGATAATTAACTGCTTTTCTGAAGCTACAGATGGACAGCTCAAGATCAGAGAGTACCAGGTACCTCTGGCCCATGCTGCTGAGGAGGCTGAGGTCTGACAATCTTGGTTCAAAGCTAGCCTGGACAGAAAAGTCTATGAGACTCTTATCTCCAATTAACCTCCAAAAATCATAAGTGGAGGTGTGGTTCAAATGGTAAGAATGCCAGCCTTGAGCAAAAAAGCCAAGTGAGAGTTTGAGGGCCTGAGTTCAAGCCCCACTGTCAGCACAAAAAAAGTTGGAAAAAAATTAACTTTGAATTCAAACTGGAAATCAGAATAAATTGAAAAATTAGCAACTGGCTAATTTTAACCATATACTACTACTACCACTACTACTACTAATAATAATAATAATAATTCAACAGTCCCTTCTCCCATGATTTGACTTTCCTATTTCAGTGCTGTCAAGCATGATCAGAAAATATCAAGTGGAGGGACTGGGAAGGTGGTTCAGTGGTAGAGTGCTTGCCTTGCATGCATGAGGCCCTGGGTTCCATTCGTCAGTACCACATAAGCAGAAAAAATCTGAAGTGGTGCTGTTGCTCAAGTGGTAGAGCACTAGCCTTGAGCTGAAGAGCTGAGGGACAGCACCCAGGCCCAGAGTTCAGGCCCCACAATA